CTTGCTTTCCACCGTGTGTATATCAGAGGGGGTTGCAACCCACCCCACCCACACCCAGGCGACCGGGTGGGTGTTTGGGGAATTTCTGGGAGTTGAAGTCCACTCATCTTAAAGTGGCCAAGTTTGGACAACACTGGTTTAGCAGAAAAACACCTAGCCTCACCCTGTGTTTTAGCATGGGGTGCAACAGAGGGAACCCCAGGGTGGAAGGGTGCTTGAATTCCACACAAAAGCATCTGTTGGAAAGGGAAGCAACAATGCCATTACTCCTTGGACAGCTGCCATTTATGACTTTTATAGGTATTTGAATTAAAAGTAAGAGCAAAGGTTGAAGTAGCAACAACTATCTGCCCAGGCTCAAAAATTCACAGGGTGGTGCAACCCTGAAATAAAGAGGCATCTGCCCCTTGGGAGAAAGACCATGACAAAACATTAGAGACAGCACGCTGACAAAGACTATGGTTTGTCAAGACCATGGCTTTTCCAATTATAACACCAAGCTGTGAAAATTGGACCATCAGTAAGGATAAATCAGAAAAATCGATCCCTTGGAACTGTGATGCTGGAGAAAATTGTTGAAAATACCTTGAACTGCAAGAAGATGAATCATTCAATATTAGATGAAGGAGAGCCAGGCTGATCGCTGGAAGCGCCAACAATGAAGCTCAAACTTAAATACTTTGGACACATAATGCAATGGCAAGCGCCGTTGGAGCAGACCATGATGCTTGGAAAAATCAAAGGCAATTAAAAAAGAGGATGACGAAAGATAAAGTAAGTAGTCCTTGTTTAATGATCACAACTGCGACCGGAATTTAGGTCGCTAAGGGATGTGGTCGCTAAGCAAATCATCACATGACCGGACCCAATTTCACGACCTTTTTTGCGGTGGTTGTTAAGTGAATCATGTGGTTCCCTACTGTTTTTGCTTGCTGGAAGCTGGCTGGGAAGGTTGCAAATGCGATCACGTGACCCTGGGACACTGCCACCATCGTAAGTGCAAGCTGGTTGCCAAGTGCCCGGATTGCAATCATGTGACCGCGGGGGCGCTGCAATGATCATAGCTTCGGGCACCAGTCGTAAGTTACTTTTTTAGCACCTCTCAGGCCCAGCCCAAGAACAGCGGTGAAACAACCCAGTTGAGTCAAGTTCCTTTATTTGCTTACACCTTATAGACAGAATCTTGCCAGACCAAATCTACACTACTGCAACTAGTGGATCTACCCTGGGAGATTCTAGGGAGTGGCTGTCCTGAATCTCTTACTCTTCTCACGCTCCCCCTACGGACTGTGTTGCCTTTTGCCTCCTTTCCCCTGCTGGAATGCACCCTCTCCTCCCTGATAGCCTTGATCTCCCACATCACTCTCCTCCTCGCAGATACATTCCATCACAGCACTATCGTAACTTCGAATGGTCGCTAAACAAACGGTTGTTAAGTGAGGACTACCTGTAGTTAGATACTATTGCTGGAGATACACGCAGGAGCTTACAAAAACTCAAAAAAGGGGTTATTGACAGACATCAGGTCACAAAGTCAGAAGTCACCGAACAACTAACAACAAGAAGCAGCAGCTGCTTTGAAAAATTCAGCTGCTTCAGCTTTGGAAACAGACAGCACCAACTGCCTGATTGGAAAGACTCGCAACTTGATTATTAATCCCATCACGTCTGGGCATTACTTCCTCTGCTCTCCCAGCCAAATATTGAGAAACGTGTGCTGGAGTTATTAGTATATGAGGCCTCCTGATTCGAAATGAGGTTCTTCCCAAATTCTTAATAACAAGTTTTGTCAGCAACCCCCGACTAACTGGAGGGGAAGAGGCATCTCTGCCCCAGGGCCCCGAGCCAATGGAGTGGGGTGCATTTGAGCAGCTTGTCCCAGCCTGAGTACTCCCCCGACTGTTTTTGGAGGGTAGGGATGCACGAAGTCAGAGAGCTTCAACTGCACCTTTGTGGCTGCCATTGTGACTTTTTTGACCATGCCCTGCGGACACCCGATAGGATGAAGGAAGGAATTCCCAAGTCCTTCTAGAAAACATTCACGGTTGCTAGTGACATCAAATTATTTAGCTCAGTGTTTCTCAACCTTGGCAACGTTAAGATGCGTGGACTTTGACTCCCAGAATTCCCCAGCCAGCCCTGAGGTTTGATGAAAACCTAAAGGAACATCAAAAAACTCCAAAGAGATTTCTCTGAACTTAGTAACCGGAATGGCAGATTTGGAAAAGCACCACTCCAAGAGTGCAACAACTATTAAGGCCATTTTAGGCTGCCTTAGCAACAGGCTGGGGTTGAGATGCAGGCGGCATCATGAGGTCTTGGCCCTAAAATGGGCATCGAGGTGTCGTCACACCACCGGAAGGGCAATGCGGGGATGAGCCCCGCAGTTTCTGAGATCAGCCGTGCTCAGCCAAGGGCTGATCCTTTTGTACAAATTAAGGTCGAATCTCACTCGGACTCTTGCGTACAGCCCCGAGGCATCACAAACAGGGTATCACGGAGCTGAACAGGGTGTGTAAAAGTGCAAAAATCTCATGAAGTAGCCTGGAGTTCTTAAAAGTATATAACTTTTCATTCTCCAGCTAGGCCACTCCAGAAATGTTGTGAAAACATCTGCTGGAGTTCCCCACTAACACGACCCAGAGAATTCAGGAAGCTGTAGATGGAGCCTGTTTGGAGGGCGCCTTGTTGGAGGAATGTCAGACTATCATCAAAGATGGGAGGATTTTTTCCTCTAAGAGGAAACGTTTCAGTATTTGGGGCTTTATGGTTCGGGAGGAAAGAAACGAAGGACAAACGAGAACGCCACGAGCCGATCTGTTCCGGCAGAGTTCAGAAAGGGATTCAAACCGGGTCCCACGCTCTGATCTACCACGACACGTTCTTTGCTCCCTCTCTGCACGATAAAAAAAATTGCTAGCATAAACCCCAGCCCAGTCCACGTTTTCTGAATATGATCTACACATTTATCTGGCTATTTGGGGAAAAAAAAGTGAAGCGGATAAAGAAAAGCCACCCTGCTGTGACAGCCCTGTTCCAGTGTTTCTCAACCTTGGCCACTTGAAGATGGGTGGACTTCAACTCCCAGAATTCCCCAGCCAGCATGAAGTCCACCCATCTTCAAGTGGCCAAGGTTGAGAAACACTGCCCTATTCCTTCTGTTTTATTCAAAAGCCTCTGCTACCTGTAACACTGACCAGCTGCTCCGGCTGCTCCTTTTCCAAGGTTGTAGGGGCACCACAGAGTCCATGTGTCTGGGAAGAGCACAAGGGCTTGCTGGAACCCAGAGACTCCAAAGTGCACCGTGGAGGCGCAGTTCTTCACACCGCAGCTGCAAAACACACTAGAAACTTGGAGAAAGGCTTCCTTCCTTAGCACCCACGGTGCCCAGGCGCAAGGAAGCAGGGCAAAGCTACCAGCCACGGCTTAGGAAGGTCCAGCTGTGCTCCCGTTTCAGAGAAAGCCATGCGAGGCCAGGAAAACCCTCGGAGGCCGCCTCAGGGAACGCGCAACTGAGCCGCAGGAGGGTCCAAAATCCAAATTCTTGCAAGCCAATTAATTTGGGTTTTAGGACAAAGGTGCCTTCCCCATTCTGGCTCCCCTCTCCCCCCTTTAACCTGCTGACAAATGCTTTTTTTCCCCTTTTTAATTTGCGCATGTGGGAGACTTTGGAAAAGGCAGGAACAAAAGGGGAACGTTTTCTAAGCCAAGGCAGCCCGCGACAAAGAGCTCTTTCAGCGGCCTCTGGCACCTGCTCGCGGGGAGGCTGCCAAACTTTTGGCCGGGCGTCCGCTCTGGACTCCGGCCCCGGAGGGCCGGCCCTGAGGACGGGCTTCGGCCACAGGCAGCTGTCGCCGGAGAAGGGGCTTCGTGCTCGTGGCTTGGCACTCGCCTGCCTTGGGAGCTGTGACTGATCCACAGAAACTCAGTTAGCAGGCGTTTTCCAAGGAGAGCGGTTTCTACTATTGGCCAGCTCCACCTGAGCAGGGGGCTGGTCAAAAAGGTCAAGACGGCCGCCATAACGGTGCAACTGAAGCTCCGGCCTTTTTTATGCGCGTTGTACATGTGCTTTTCATGGGGGTTATGGACAACGCCCATTCCAATGGGCAGAGCTGCCATGTACCGTGGTGGGGGCCGTCTTGACTTTTTTGACTACGCCCTGAGGACCTCCCTGAAAATCATGCTAGCTCAGGTTCTCTCTCCAGCTGTTCAAACCCGTTTTCTTCACGGGGAGCCTTCGGAGGCAATTTAAGAGACTTGTCCATATGAACCTCCTTCCCACGCACGATTTCTTCTCACGCATCCTCCAGTAATGTATTTTTTTCCTCCACTGACATCAAGGGACCCATAAGGAGGACCACGTGGGGAAACGGAAAATACGAAGTGCTCCAGGGATGATAGCGTAATGCCTTGAGTGAAAAGTGCCGGTGCCCCCAGTAACGTCCAGTACAGAACCGTCTTCGGATGGGTCACCTCCAAGGGTGAGGGCAGGGCAGTGGTGGCCCCCGGCTGACAGGCAGAAAAAGGGCTTCTCCAGCAGCTTGGAAGTCTTCAGACAAGGAAGAAGCTGGTCTCCATGGCTGCCCCCCTTCCCCGGGCTTTTCAATGGCGTTCCATCTCTCATCGCTGGATAGCTGTTTTTGCCCAGGATGCAAATCCCGGGTTATCCTGACCATCATTTGTTGAATTAACTCAGCCGTTGGAGTTCACCCAGCACACTGAAGTGTAAACTAGCACAGCGGCAGGGACAGCACAAACTCTGGCCCGGTTCACCTGCCCGACACGCTGCCTGCATCCCACGCTGAGTCTCAGTTAAAGACTTAGCACAAAATGTGGTTAGTTTTAACCTTGGTTAGCTTTTTTTGGTGGTGCAGGGTGTCCTGTGCGCTCAGCCTGGTCGGTCGCTCGGTTGATGGTTCAGGGATGGCACTTATGCAGAAGACAGGCTCATTCAGAAACCGGGTTAAGCAGCTTGTGTGAATGTAGCCTTGGAGCCAAAAATTAGCCAACTGCACCATTGTGCCCTGAAAACCCAGTGGGTGTAGAGTTGAACAATAACCAGACTTTGGACTTAGATGCTGCCCCAAATGTCTGCAGGGGCCACCATCTTGCCTTTTTTCCCCCCCCCCCCCATGGACACTGCTGGTCCCAAACACTCTCCTTTAGCTTCCCCACAGAAGATAATTGTGTGGTGAGATAAGCTGCTGGAGCTCCAAGGTTTTCCTTGTCTTCAGGGCACCTGTGCGAAACACGGCCGATGGGAGCCAAGCGTGCCCTTTTATCCTTCCGCCCACAACTCTGAGAAGTCAGCTTATGGGTGAAATGACTCTTGCGCTCATATCAGAGTTGGCACGCGCATGGTATCCTTGCTGAGCATGTGCCCTGAATGAGTCAACTGGAAAATATCTTGCAAGAAAAAAATCAAGGGCCAGGCGAAGACCCATGAACGCCTGATATCTCCTATTGCTAATATTTGCTCACGTTCAGCCTCTTTAATGCTGGTTTGTCTTTCCCAGGAGCACCTGGGCCCAGGCTGGAAACCCCCCCCCCCCTTAATTAAATGCTGCATTTAATCTGGGAGTTGAAGTCCACACATCTTCAAGTTGCCAAGTTCTTGCTCTGAGCAATGACGGGAAATTTAAAATGCCCAACCCTCACATTGCTGCCATGTGCAGAACCTGTGCCCCAAAACAGGAGGAAAAATAAACATGGACAGCAGGGGGTGTCTGTGAGGGTCAAAAGAGTCAAGATGGTGGCCATGACTGTGTGATCAGAGCCCCACTCCTTTCTTACATGCACCGTGGGGCTCTGATTGCGCACCCGTGGCTGCTCTCTTGACTTTTTTGCCCCCTCCTGAAGATGCCCCTGATGGGTGATGACTGCACACGAGGCCAACGCTAAACTGAAAGGGATTTAGTTCTCTTTGTCCACCACCAGGACATTTGAGACCTGCTATGTAAATGTGGAAAGCTGTGATTGTGTTTTCCAAACCTGGCAACTTGAAGATGCATGGACTTCAACATGCATGGCTGGCTGGGGAATTCTGGGAGTTGAAGTCCACGCATCTTCAAGTTGCTAAGGTTGAAAAACACTGCTGTGATTGCCCAGCGGAGGGAACTCCCTCTGTTCTCCCAGAAGGACCAAAGGTCCCTCATAAAACTTGGAGAGCGGAATGTGTGAAGGACGCAGCAGCTGGGTGATCTTTGCACAAGCAGCACCTCTGCGGTTTGCAGACGAAGGAAACCAAGCTCAGGCACTCACCTTTGTTCGCCTTGCTCTCCAATCTATTGTGCAAAAAACAAATATTTTTTCCTGCCTGGCTCTTTCCCTCTGTTATTTCGCTGTTTCCTTTAGAACATGTACTGGATGTTCCAGCAATTATATTTTAAAAAAAGGAGGCGTAACCTGCAAGTTGATTTATTTTAATGGGGCTTTTCCTGGACCCTCAGAAGCAGCAACTTCACGTTGCCAGCAGGATCACACTTGATTTCCTGAGATTTCCACCGGGTATCAGAAAATGGGTCAGTTCAGGAGCCGGGACAGGCACCCTGTAACCCAGCCAGTTTGCAACAGGGGACTTCTTCTGACCCCTTCCTAATTTTGCAATAGGTTATCCCTCTTCAGGGACCAAGGATGCTGGTCTGCTCCCTCCCTGCAACGGAGAGGCCCCTCTGCTTTAAGAAGGCATCATCTGCACCGCATAGGACCCAGAGGTAGAATATCCCTTTCATTTACATATCCATTAACTTATCCAATATAAGTGGATTGGCAATTCCTGCTTTTGCCCCACCCATTTTTCCCCCTGACCAGCCTTCTGTTTTTTCTGCCGAATGGTGCTAAGCCATGATGTGATCCACAAGTTTGGCAAACTCAAGCTTTGTGTGCAACAGATGAATTCCATGCCAGAGAGAATAAGGTTGCCAACCCCCTAAAGCGACATTTCTCGACCTTGGCAACTTTAAGATGTGTGGACTTCAACTCCCAGAATTCCCCAGCTTTTAACACCTTAAAGTTGCCAAGACTGAGAAACACTGCCCTAAAATGATGCTCTTGCAGTCAGACTGAGATTTGGGGCAACTTCTGAAGGCTATTCAAGCACCACTGGCCCAAAGCACAGCCCAGGATGAGAGCTCTGGGCCCAATTCAGACTGCACTGAGTTTACCTATAAAGCTTTAAATGACTTCCAAGCAGTTTGCTCAGAAAAAGGGTTACGCTCATCGGTACCTGCTCTGGACCTCCTCATCTGCCAGTGACGTCCTGCTGTTCACCTTTGTTCACTGGATACTCCTGCAAACAGAGCTATCCACAGCGTATGGTCAAAAAGTCAAACGGATGGCCCCAACATGCGACGGACATAAAAAAAGAGGAGGAGCTTCAACCACACTGCGGTGGCTGCCATCTTGACTTTTTTGACTATTTCTGCAGACACTCCTGCATGCAAGCAACACTTTCTCGGTATAAAAGACAAAGCCCCCGTCCCGTAAGTTAAGGTCAATTCCCAGGGATCTGGTGGGCACATCCATGCTGTTGTTTTGACCACGGGAGAGTTGGTTTGCTACCTGCCTTCTTCCAAGATGGTTTTGTGACTACTTAGTCTAGTCTACAGCCCTGGGAGTTTCCTAGTGGTCTCCCATCCAAATAGTGATTTGTTATTATTATTATTTATGGCCAAAAGGCCCAAATACTTATTTATTTCTTCACTCATTCATTCAAATTTCGAGGCTACCCGACTTCTTGACGACTCTGCGTGGCTTACAAATAAGGAAGTAAAAGAATGCATATCACAGTGCCAACCCGAAGAACAAAGACCCAGTTTTACATGAAACAGAACGAAACTAACTAGAAGGGGCTAATGAAGCTTGACCCTGCTCAGTTTTTCCAGATCAGCCAAGGTCAACTGGTCAGCCTGGCACCTATTTGCAGCTTTGGTGCCACCAATGTTTAACCCAGTTCTGAGAATTCACTGTTGCTCATTGCTTTTTTCCCAAGCACTTTTGATGCTAATGAGCTGCTAAATAGACTGTCCAGTCCGAGAAGTTGAAGAATGCTGTATTTATTTTTTTATTTAAAAAAAACAGGGGCATATTTGATAATGGAATTTTGTGCCTTCCTGGCTGAGAAATCCAGTACAATGCACCTGGAATGGGACATCCTGGGATAAGGAATCAAAGAATAATACTGTAGGTCAGTGTTTCTCAACCTTAGCAACTTTAAAGCTGGGGGTCTTCCACACCATGGCCGGGGGGGGATCCCGCGGGGTTGGGGTCCCACACCCTTAATGTGGCCGAGGTGGAGAAAAAC